AGCTTACTTTTACCGGCATCGTGTTCCTCTCGTCAAGACGCATCGAATGAACTATAACTTGACCTTGAAAGGTCAACTTGAAACGTATCGTCGAGCTGAACACATCTAAGGTGTTTTCATCGCTCTAGCATGCCTCTATCAAAAGTTATTTGCGAAAAACTGTTAGATACCATTCGTGACCTAAGATGACCTCAGGGCATAAACAGGGGTCACGGACACCATTTTAATGTTCAGTGTGTCTAAACCACTTGTAATTCAGTGTTTGGGAGTGTTTATAATGTCTTTCGTCCGAAAGAGACGCATTTCAATTTTCTCCCATTGACTTATAATGGGGAGGTCGCAAAATTGACCTGACCTTAGGTCATCGATATCAAAATTCTGAGATATACATTTTGTACATGCTATTGCTCTTAGCAATCGCTGAAAGTTTCAAAGCGATCGGTCACTCGGTGTAGCTATGACAGACATTGAAACTTTTTATGAGGTGAGGTCACTTCAAGTGACCTGGTGACCTGACCTTGAATGACCTCGGTCTGAAATTTTCATAACATGTGTAGAATTGATGCATGATAAGGTGTACCAAAAACGGCGGCGCTCCGCGCCGCCGTTTTTGAGATATTCGCGAAAAACCACAAGGGGGGGTGTTCAAACACCCCCCCCCCAGCAGGGCGCGGGTTAACGAGCTTTCTGCCAAGTTTTATGCGGATCATTCTTAGGTGTTGTTTTTATCCGCTGGGACTGAGAGCGTGAGATGATGTTTTTCGTACTCCAGCGTAGATGGGTAGCCATTCGGCTGCCACGGTTGACAGTGATGACATCAGTCATCTTTTGCAAGCTCGTTAAAGATTTGGGCTATACGGGGATTCGAACCCCGGTCCTTTGGATTAGCGCTCCAATGCTCTACCTCTGAGCTATATAGACCAAGTACTTTAACGAGCTTTCTGCCAAGTTTTATGCGGATCATTCTTAGGTGTTGTTTTTATCCGCTGGGACTGAGAGCGTGAGATGATGTTTTTCGTACTCCAGCGTAGATGGGTAGCCATTCGGCTGCCACGGTTGACAGTGATGACATCAGTCATCTTTTGCAAGCTCGTTAAAGATTTGGGCTATACGGGGATTCGAACCCCGGTCCTTTGGATTAGCGCTCCAATGCTCTACCTCTGAGCTATATAGACCAAGTACTTTAACGAGCTTTCTGCCAAGTTTTATGCGGATCATTCTTAGGTGTTGTTTTTATCCGCTGGGACTGAGAGCGTGAGATGATGTTTTTCGTACTCCAGCGTAGATGGGTAGCCATTCGGCTGCCACGGTTGACAGTGATGACATCAGTCATCTTTTGCAAGCTCGTTAAAGATTTGGGCTATACGGGGATTCGAACTCCGGTCCTTTGGATTAGCGCTCCAATGCTCTATCTCTGAGCTATATAGACCAAGTACTTTAACGAGCTTTCTGCCAAGTTTTATGCAGATCATTCTTAGCCCGCGCCCCGTAGGGCTGCCGGCGGACCCTACCACCCGTGGGGGGGGGGGGGGCGTTTCGGCCCCCCTAAGATCTCGGAAAGTTACCGGCCGATTTTCAAAATTCAAACGGCGTTTAATAGCCCTATCCGGGAACTACCTTGTGACCAAATTTCATTGACCTAGGTCAAACCGATGACGTCACAGGTCAGGTCAAAGGTCAGATTTTCACCGTTCACAGGCAATTCAAGAAATGTGCTGTGATATCGAGTAAATTGGTAATTTATTGAAAACCATCGATGGTATATTGTTCGTCAAACACATACTTTGCTATCTGAGGTCACTGATACCAGGTCAGGTCACAGCGAGGTCAGGTCACCGGGGGTCACAATATGAATGTGTCGTGTGATACATGTTTTATGGTCCATGTTACATGACAAATGCGATTATGTGGGTCAGGCAGCCTTTGGGGCCAGCCTAGGTCACGTTTTGGTGAAGGTCAGGTCAAGGTCAGGTCAAATTAGGTCAAATTTCAAAGTTGATATTTTTGCATTAAATGGGTATGCATTCGATGCAGCTCGTCACGGGGAGTCTAATGGTGGACTTTGTTTTGCTCTACGAGTTCTAGAATTGCCAAAAATTGAGTTTGAAAATTTGACGTCATCATTTTTGAACAGTTTTTTCGCTATAACTTGGCCAAAAAACGAGGTATCGATCTGAAATTTGGTATGTAGATAGAAGACGGTAGGTACTATCACATATATTCCGGTTTTTTCGAAACTAAAAAAACTTTTTGGATTTTTTGGCTAATATATCCAAAAAATGCTTTTTTGATTTTTGGGGATCAAAACTAAAAAATTTCAAAAATCCGAGATAGCAGTTTTGTAGTTCTGTCAATTCTACACCTTTTATGTCTTGATCATTTTTCTGTATCTTCAAAGCTGTAGGCCTGACAGGTCTTCTCGCGAAGGTCTTTTTTCGGTCGAAAATGAGAGAACATGACGTACCTCTGACGTCATTTGTGGCCAACCTATCACAGCCTCTGGAAAAATGTTTAGTCACAATGTGTAAAATTGATGCCCGGAGGGGTCCTTAAAGTTTGGTGGCGATATCTCCAGCCGTTTAGGAGATATCGACCGAAAAGGACAGGGGGTGCCGTTTCGGCTTCCCCCCTACGGGGCGCGGGTTAGGTGTTGTTTTTATCCGCTGGGACTGAGAGCGTGAGATGATGTTTTTCGTACTCCAGCGTAGATGGGTAGCCATTCGGCTGCCACGGTTGACAGTGATGACATCAGTCATCTTTTGCAAGCTCGTTAAAGATTTGGGCTATACGGGGATTCGAACCCCGGTCCTTTGGATTAGCGCTCCAATGCTCTACCTCTGAGCTATATAGACCAAGTACTTTAACGAGCTTTCTGCCAAGTTTTATGCGGATCATTCTTAGGTGTTGTTTTTATCCGCTGGGACTGAGAGCGTGAGATGATGTTTTTCGTACTCCAGCGTAGATGGGTAGCCATTCGGCTGCCACGGTTGACCGTGATGACATCAGTCATCTTTTGCAAGCTCGTTAAAGATTTGGGCTATACGGGGATTCGAACCCCGGTCCTTTGGATTAGCGCTCCAATGCTCCACCTCTGAGCTATATAGACCAAGTACTTTAACGAGCTTTCTGCCAAGTTTTATGCGGATCATTCTTAGGTGTTGTTTTTATCCGCTGGGACTGAGAGAGTGAGATGATGTTTTTCGTACTCCAGCGTAGATGGGTAGCCATTCGGCTGCCACGGTTGACAGTGATGACATCAGTCATCTTTTGCAAGCTCCGAATGGCTACCCATCTACGCTGGAGTACGAAAAACATCATCTCACGCTCTCAGTCCCAGCGGATAAAAACAACACCTAAGAATGATCCGCATAAAACTTGGCAGAAAGCTCGTTAAAGTGCTTGGTCTATATAGCTCAGAGGTAGAGCATTGGAGCGCTAATCCAAAGGACCGGGGTTCGAATCCCCGTATAGCCCAAATCTTTAGCGAGCTTGCAAAAGATGACTGATGTCATCACTGTCAACCGTGGCAGCCGAATGGCTACCCATCTACGCTGGAGTACGAAAAACATCATCTCACGCTCTCAGTCCCAGCGGATAAAAACAACACCTAAGAATGATCCGCACAAAACTTGGCAGAAAGCTCATTAGTATAAATATTCTATTTGCGTCGATTTTCGGGTTTTTTGAAACGCTCAGTTTTTGCAGCGAGCTTTTTCTCTTAAGCCAGGGAGACACCGGTTGGTCACGTGACTCGGAAACAAAAATCAGCTGATAGAGTGGCGGAATCGACGTAATCGAACACGAATAATTCCGGACGATAGAGCGGCAGTATAGCAGTTTTCTTCACAACAGGCAAACATTGCAATGTTTTATCATTCTATGATCAAGAAACGTTAATAAATCATATATTTCTTCGATTATTACTGCCGCAACCGACACGCACATATCGTAGCCAGCGCATAAAGCTGTGCTTTGCAATATTATATGTGAAGAAACGGCCAACACTATGTTTAACAAAGCTCGAAAAAGATAGCATTCTATCTTGCTTCAACCTTCTACTTACGCTTTTGTAATTACGACAGTGACACCATACGGCCTATCGACGCTTTCTTACTCCGTGGAGCGTCCGGCCGCACTCTGCAGAGCGTGCCGAGATCGGAGGCGGCGGACCATCCGCGGCACGTCCAGCTGCGCTGTCCGGTCGCAAGAGGGTGACGCCTAGCGCCGCTCTGGCCGCTCGCTTCCGCGCACAACTTAGCTACCTGGCTACGCCTGTGGGAGGGGAGGGAGAAAACCGACAACAGCCTGATAAGCCAATGGAGTCTGTGAGCCGCGTCAATCTGCGCCCTTCCGCGCGCAGACGGGAGCTAGAGCTATCCATCTCCTTTCCTGTTTTCGCTGGTCCGCCAGTCACCAGCATCGTTCCGTGCTCTCCATCGTGGCCGATTCGGCCGTATTGTCCTGTGTGCGTCAGTAACAACAGTGAGAGAGAGCCTCGGATCGCGCCACTCAGCCACCTGGGTATCTATTGTTTATTTACTTTTCACTTTCAGTGATCGCAAGCGTTTTTGTTTGGAACCGGGTGTGATCAGTATTTGACGCATTTGTGTGATCTGTATGATAAAACGGAAAAAGATAGTGAAATATATTCACTTTAATTCACATATCGCTTTTGATTCATGGTACGGCTGCTTGATATTGCCACAGCGTACATACAGCCGATTTCGACATGTTTCTGTTCCAGAACAGCAGCTGCAGTGGATGCACCAAAAATGCACTTGCTCTGACAACTTACTCCAAAGATACACATATTTCACGGCGAACTGCTAAGTTCCAGAGAAAGTATTTTCTCGCTCACAGATGCTCAGCAAAAAGAGCGCGAGTGATTACAACTAGCACGCTCACGATTTTTAATATCGCGCTGGCAAAAACCTGCCCCTTACATCCAAATATAATATAGTCTTATATGAATATAATTATATCTTATATTATACATCCAAATATGGAATATAATCATCTTTATTCCAGCCTCTGTCCTATTTATGATTTATCAGCGTATCGAGAGTGAATGAGACCACGGCATAGCCGTCATATTACATAGCACAAATTGCGAGACGACGTCGAGACCTGTATCGACGTATCCTTCACAGATCCGGGTGTCTCGCCTCCACTCTCAATCAACCCCAGCAACCATCAACGGAGCCACGTCGGCTCCGACCATCTTGATCTCCGCACTGAAAGATGATGGCCGTCATTTCATCCTATCCGTCAGCGCGCACTACACCCGAGCTCAGCCTTAAGTGCCCTGTGCGACCTTCTTCGGATGACGCCTCTGAGCATGGCGCTTGCTTGCACCTGGATGCTTAGAGCCTCTTGTTCGTGTACGGCCATTATCATTTCAGGAGTCGGATGGTCTCGGCGGTGGCGGCGCTGGTCACCGTGGAGCCGTTGGAAGACACCGTCAGCTCGAGCGCCCGCGACCAGTGACCTGTAAAGCAGCGAGTCGCGGCACGTCAAGACGACCGTCACGTTTCAGTCACGAAGGCCGTTATAGAAGTCACGGCGGCCGTCATATACCAGCCGCGGCGACCGTCACATAGCAGTCACGGTGACCGTCACAGGTCACGACTCACGACGGTCGTCATATACCACTATGAGCCACAGCGACCACGGTTCATAGCTCATCATGTTTCCTGTCGCACACTCAGCTAGAATAACAGTACATTAGCCTGTATGTACACACATTTCTCACTCGATAAATTGAAGCCCGAACCTGAGACCCATCATACGTCACGACACTTCACGTTGCAACGGCACCTGCATTAGCAGACATCCCATCCCGGCAACACAAAAAGTTCCCCCGAGCCACCCACCTAAGGACGCGGCGACGGGTCACAGAATTGCCGTGACGTCGCTGACCTAGTTTACTGACCTGGAGATGATGTGATGGTTTCTGGTCAATGTCGATACGCGCGCCGCGTGGCTGGCCATCACACTCTTCCACCTCCAGATGACGTCCTACAGCTGGATCGACCCGCTGTCTTCAGAACCACCGTCAGAAACAAGCCTGGTGGAGGATGATATGATCAAAACTAAAAAACCACAAAGCACACAATGAAGACGACAAAAGCCGCAGCAGGCACATAATGACGACCTTCTATAATTAAATTAGGCTTATTCAACGTAACATAAGGCTGAAACGTCTATATTTTACTAGTCAAACGCCCATGATGGGCTGATGTGCTTAGCTAGATGTAGTTTGAATTTCCGAATGTAGCTTAACCCTCACCCGTATGGGGGGGGGGGGGTCGAACGGACCCCTTCTCGGTTTTTCGCCGATAGCTCTCGTAAAAAAAGAGGCCGATTGCGACGAAACTTTCAGTACCCTCGAGTTGATCAATTTTACACATGTCCTTAACATTTTATGAACCTGCCCCGAATGAACTTTGACCTGTGACCTATTAAGCCCAGCTGCCGAGACCCATGTCAGCTAGTTGGGGAAGCTTCAGTCCAGATAGCAGATGCAGGTAATAGCCATTCAGCAAGTCTGGCGGGAGGCACTTTCAGCAACTCTTCAGGCATTAATTGGATGAACAGCCTGGGCGCACCAAAAAGCAGCAACTGTACATGCAGAACATTGACAAAACCTGGGTAAAGCGAAAGAGAGAGGGAGTAAGGACTCAGGAGTACAGGGGTAGACAAGACAGCTGACACAGGTGAGAGCAGCGGAGACCGAGATTAGGAACTGAGTGAATGCTTTGTGCTTGCTTTGCTTTGTGCTTTGTCAACCATCTGCAGTGCAAAGGGATGAAACACCAGCATAAAGAGATAGACTGGTGTTGGTGGTGCCAGCACCACTGTTAGCAACATCTTGACATCCATAATAGTAAGTTTGTAAAAGGATACCAAATTTAATGTCTAGCTCTGCTAAAAGACAAAAAGTTACTTATATTTCAATACCAGCGGCAGCAACTCACTCTTCATGGTGCTGCTCATCATGCTTGATGCTTCCGTTACCAGTTACAAAGAAATCAACATCTACGACCAGAGCCCTGTTTCACGGTCTGGATGGTGCGTGCACTGCAGAGCGCTGGTGCAGCGTTCAAGACGAATTCGGCTCAAAGCTTCAGCATTGAGGCATCCGAGTTTGTAATGTTTCCATGAACACCCAACGCGCTGCTGGTATGCTATAGCTCCCAGCACGCTGCAGCGTGCGCAGTGTCAGAAGCAGAACGTTGAAACATGAACAGGGCCCAGTTGGTATTTTCAATACATCAAGTAATCAGCATCCTTTTCTTCACTGTTACGTTCCAGTTCCAGCTTTAATTCAAATGAAAAGGTACCTACCAACCAAATCAGTTGGGCAAACTACGGGGAGGTAATCAAGAACTTGATTAATCAAGTTCATGATTATTTTATGCCCATATTTGGTCATGTCTGCAGCCCGTCACGAAAACGGCTGAATCTCGATTCAGGGTCTACGGAGATGCACGAAAATTGTAAGACCGAAAGAGAAGAAGTCACTCTACAAGTGTAATGTTTGAATGATTCAAGTTGAAAATCGTGAGGCGGTAGATTGCAACCAAAACGTAATCAACAACTTGATTACGAGGCGTCGTCCCGGGAGTCCGATGATCAACTTCTTGATTATGCAGCCAGCTGGCTAATCATGATCTTGATTTCGCATTCAGCTGGCTAATCACGATTTTGATCGCGCTGATCGTGCTACTGGCGAGCGTTGAACAATGCAACTAATTAAAAGATACAATGATAATGGTGTATATTATTGACAAAATCAATCAGTTTTGGTGGGATGGAATTTATGTTGCAGTTAATGTTTCTCATGAATGACTTGACCGAGCCTGTTCAAATGTTTGTGTGGCTAGAAGCCTATTAGCTATAAGTTTTGGACAAATCGGGGATAGGATATGTTTGCACACGCGCACATCATTTCTGTATCTCCGGAACGGCGTCACCGATTGTTTTTCAGTTTTGGTGGGTGGCTAGAGACTTAGTAGCTGTAAGCTTTAGACAAGTTAGGGAATAGGGATGTGGCACACACATGTGGACTTGTGCACGAGCACACCTCTTCTCGCGCTTGCTCGCTCACATTGCCGAGCACGGATCTGAAAAAGACCACCCCGAGCAAGAACACCGCTGTCCGCGATAAGCGGCCTGACCATAAGTCAGCTCAAATGATAATCTGCATACGACCACATATATTGGACGAATAGCGTTACAACCCTAAGCCCGTGTAACCAAGCACAGATCAAAGATATATTTCAAGAAATGTGTATTGAAATGTGTATTTATAGTCCGCGCCGATGGAAGGCTCAAAGAATTGGTTAACGCTTCCGACACCCCGCCGCGGCATGCTCTACGGGGATCTCACTCCACTTGCTTCACGGTCGCGATGGCCGCCGCTGATGGCGGCACATCGGCCTTCACTCCACCAAACACTTTGGTTCTCAGAAACCAATTCAGATTGACCATGTTTTTAGGAGTTATGATGTTAAAAATCCAAAAGGCGGCCTGCCACAGCAGGAATGCTTGGTCTGGTGGCGCCGATACCACCTCCTGGGCCTGGACGAATACCGCGTCTTCCCCGCCCAGCTCTCCATTCACGATTATGGGATGGAAAGTTTTGCGGGCCTCCGTTGGCTTCCGTCGTCTCTTGGAGAATGCGCTGCAGGTTCTCCCAGCTGATCCCCTGCAAAATGTTCATAACCAAATTATAGGTACACTTAACATTGCGTGGGAGAAGATGGAGGAGAAAGAATAGGAGAGAAGGAGGGAAAGAATAAAGGAGAGAAAGAGGGAAAGAGTAAAGGAGGGAGAGAGAGAGAGGAGAGGAGAGGAGAGGAGAGGAGAGGAGGGGAGGGGAGGGGAGGGGAGGGGAGGTGAAGGAGGGAGTGAGGAAGGAAGCAAGGAAAGATGGAAGGAAGAAATGATGGAGCCGGAGGAGAGGTAGACAGATGTAACAAGACAAACAAGACAAGACATGGACCTGATGTGTTGGCGCAGGGCACTGATACTACATTTCGGCACATGATGTGAAAATAATGTATAATGCCTCAGACTCAGCAGTCTGGAAAATGTAGGTACAAATTACACATGTATCAGTAAAGAAGTTCCTGCATTTAGATAAGAATGAATTGTTTTGAAAACATTAGAATAGACAATGCCTGTATCTTGAAAAAGGATTAGATTGGGCTGTGTCAGGACAAAACTGGGGATGAGTCATGTGAGCTCGCAAAGTTGTGCCAGGCAACTTCATGAGATCACACTGAAGGAGCTCCAGCGAATTATTTTCAGCATGCCCAGCTCGAGTGTGCAACATGTACACTGGACTGGATCATTGTAGTGTCTGAACATGACGCACCAAACTCAACGTGACACACCAAACTGAATGTGACGCACCAGCGACAAAACAAAACACTACAACCATCTATTGCAAAAGCAATTTATACATACCTGCAGCTGTGTGTCCCTGCATCCTGGCCTGCTGTCTTGCATGAGCGCTGCACATAATACAAATGTAGCTGTAGTTAGTCCGCTTAATTCCAAAGAAGTTAATCATATCATTCTTTTATTGAAAATTCCTCAAGGTAGGACCGTAGGTACCATTATCACAAGCTTCCTGAACAATACTGTGGTGACGCCCACCGCTACAGCGAGGAGGTGGTGCTTTGATGAGCTGTGGAAAAACAGACACATTTGCAGTCACCACTTCTATTATTGTTCTATGAATCCATGACAAAGCCACTTAGAATGCAAGTATGAATAACCTAGCATAAGCCGAAGCTTAACTTTTTATTAAAAACTAAAAGATATATCCTATTGGTCCCTGCTTGCACAGATAATTGACAAGAATAAATGATATGGCCACACTACAAACTTTTGCACAACCTGCCAGGCCACAACATTTCTAGCTACTGTGGGCAGTTCAATGTGCCTCCCTAATCAACAATTGCCCCAAACAACAAATATGCCTATTATTTACTTTAAGATAAACTATAACCTTGTAAATAGCAATACATTTTGTAAATAATTAAAATATTATACCGCGGAAAGCATGCGCCATGATAGCCTACAAAATCATCATAAATTCTATCGCGATATCTCAACATTTATACCGACGCACATGAACGTTGAGGCTATTCAAATATACAAACATGATCTAAATTATTTTAAAAAATGCTAATTTTACCTATAAGAACCAAATTACCAATAATTCGGCGCTAATTTCCAGCCTCACCCACACACCGACAACACGACAAATGGCGGCGTGCTAACAGGCGACGGCGCCTTTTGGAAGAAATGTTTATTACGACCAATTTAAGACGTGTGTAAAATGAATGTTCAATTATTTATTTTTAAATTGGAAACGTAAAAATGTGGATAAAAGAATAATATCCGCCTAAAAAGGGCTTTAAAAAATATCACTTTTCTGAAAAAGTTAGGCTAGCAGTTTATCTTTCGCCATATGAGCTAAAGTCCATATCCCACTGCTACCGGTCCATATCATTTCGGGAGAATAGCATATTGCGTTTCACCTGGTAAAAAATCGTGTCGAAATGGACATTATAACAATCGAAACGAAACACTTGAACAGTTCGGTGCACGAAAAGTAATCAAAATCTTGATTACAACTCCTTATATGGTCATGCCACGCCCCGTTTTCGTGACGTCATAATCATGAACTTGATTAATCAAGTTCTTGATTACCTCCCCGTAGTTTGCCCAACTGAAATATTTATCAAGGTATGTGAACTGGCTAGCCAATGTCGCCAATGATACTTCAATATGGCTTTCCAATCCCTCCAACATGGCATTTGGAAGAATTTCATAATTGCACTGCAATGACACAACTCCTACATCACTTCTAATTTGAAATTTGCTGAAATCTCAAATTCAAACCCCTACCAATACACTACAATACAATACAAACAATGCTTGTCAAACTGTTCATAATTTGAATCTTGGCAATGAGCTTCGCTGTTCTGAGCCAATCACGCCTCGAATTTCGTCTTCAAACGCTGAAATAAAAAGCAAAAGCATCATGAGCATAAACATCGAACACCAGCATACGCCATTACGAACTGATGTACCTCGTGTAAAATCGTTCTGATGTCTTTGGGGCCGAAATTGGGTGCGTTTCAAGTTTGACCTGGTATTGAGATTTACAAGGTATATTAAATGGATAATTCTGTGCATTTTTCATCTTTCAATAGATCGCGACTCTCTCCTGTTTTCGAGTAATCATCCAGACAATGTGAAGGCGTCACCCAACGCGAAGCAAACAGTGACATACTTCAGGCGTAAATTTTATGATCTTTCGAAGATTGATACCCGATTTGTTACATGCATTAAGCGTAAAAAAGTTTGCTCTTTCAGAAAAGGTATAATTTTTCAACAATTACGTTTAACTTTCCAAAAGATGTGCGATTTTGTTCAAAGCTGAGTACCAGGTAAATGCAAACTTTCATGTTTGGAACCAAAAATGAGTACGTTTCAAGTTTGACTTCGCATCAGGAATTGGCCAACTTATAGAATGATCAATTCTGCATTTTTTCGTATTTTTTATAGATCGCGACTCCCTTTTGTTTTTGAGACAGCTCGTGTGAGGTGTGCTGCGGGGACCTGATAGAACTGCAGCTCTAATTTATGTTTCTTTGAATATTTTTGAATGTCGGGCATGAAACTTGATAATTTATAGCTAATATTGTAGAAAAATCTTTTTTAAGTCTAAATATAGCGCGGTTGTGGACCGGCGAATGATGAATAATCAAACCATTGCTTTGAAACATTACTACGTCGTGAATGAGAAGTGGGCATAGGCCATGGTTTCCCTAGAAATTGAATAAAGCTATTATTGTGGATATTTGTGTAGATCTACTATTAATTTTATTATTTGAAGACACAAAATGAAATTCAGATGCAATAAACATCCGTAACGTTAAATAAATTATTGGGGGAAAATGGTGCAAATTGCTTGATTTTATTTTCTTTATTATCACACAGATTTACTCGTCACTTCCTCTGTGATAATGCTCTTTAAAGGAAATAGTTCACTTTTAACATGGGGTTTTGAGCTGGAATAGCAGTTTCGTAGCTTGAGCTGAGACTAGCACAAATCAGGAGCTTTTACGGCTCAACGATCACCCTAGACGAAGAAATTCCATTTCTCGTTCCGAAAAGAGTGCCTTGTAGAGGAATGCGTGCCTTGCACAGGAATGCAGCCACGTCATCGTCAGCCAATCAGCGTGCTGCTTACAGCCAATGCAGTATTCGTAGGTTTGAGCTACGCAATATGATTGGTCAATGCGTAATAAGCTTCCGCGTCAAAC